TGAACTACATTTTACTCCCCAAACTTTATTTTTGTCATGTATGTTTCTTAGTCAAATTTCAGGCTGAATGGGAAAAGGGCCGCAAGGCCTCAGACTCCCAGTTCCACCACAACGAAGGAACCCTTTCATGGTGAGGCCTTTAAATTTTTTGTGAATTACCAAAAATTCTGAGAGCATTGGTTCTTTTAAATGTTCTACCACTCTTTAAAATGTTTTGCAAAAAAAAAAAAAAAAAAAAAAAAAAAAAAAAAAAAAAAAAAAAAAAAAAAAAAAAAANAGTTGTCAGGCCTGTAAATGCGCGATATAATGAATATGGTATATTACGAGAAGTCAGCTATCACAAAGTTTCCGACAAATAGCTAACATTAGTTCTAACTGAAAATTCCGTTCGCAAAAGAATGCACCTTATTATGCAAGGATGCAAAAGGTACCCTTATGGGAAAACGGTAGAGCATTTACCCTTAAATGTACAATTCAATGTACCGCTTACTACTGTCGGAAACTTTTATTATAATTTAGAATATGCATGCACGGGTCTGGTTCATTTAATCGACAATCACTTCATCGACTGGCCATTTCATCGAAACCACTTCATAGACAGACCATTTCATCGACAGGCCGTTTCCTTGACAGGGTTGTTTTGTCGACAGGCCATTTCGCCGATAGGCTCATTTTGTCAACAAGTTATTTCGTCGACATGATCCTTTAGTCGACAGGATAATTTCGTCTACAGGGTGATATCGTTGCCAAGGTTATTATGTCAACACGGTTATTTCGTCGAAAGGATCATTTTATCGACAAGGCCATTTTGCGTGCATTCATTGACAGTGTCATGCCTAATTTTGAAACTTATTTTAGGGATTTACTCTAAATATTTTTATTATTAATTAGAAAAATACTATTATATAATTTTTATAACTTTTTCTTCTTCTTCTCTTTATTCAGCTCCTTTAACAGGATGAATGAATATACTTATTCGAATTAATATCAATATGCTTAGTCTTAGTTTCGCTACCACTATTGGAGTTTTCTAAGAACTACAGGGACGGAAATATGATGTTTAGGTATTTACCAAGCTGGAGGTTGCAGACTCCTACAATATTTAAAGTGCTCCAAATCGGACCAAAAACGTTCAGAAGAGCAGGCGTAATGTTACAAGCAAGATCGTGCTTGCTCTTCACAAAATAATTTTTTTCTACGGATAATTTTCAAAATAATAATAGTAGTAAATAAATGATGAATTAATTCCTTTTTATTTGCAGGATTTAAATTAGACACAATTTATTTAAAAGAAAATTAACCAAAAATAAAATCAAACCTAGAATTTTACGTAAGAATTAATAACTATTACTCTACAAAAAAGAAAAGAAAAAAATTTGCAATTAAATCTTCTGCCACTTTTCTACTAGTTTAAGTGCGCAAATGTGTTGCTGATTTTCTGTACTGGATGAAAACACAATATTTAAACGCTTTCTGACCACTATAAGCAGAATTTATCGCCAATCAAAATTGTGATTATTTTCGACCTGAAAAGCCAAGCGACTCTAAACTAAAATGTAAAAAAATGAAAATAAAATATTTATATATATTTAAAAAATCCAGTTTGTTCAGTAGACTGAGAAAATAAATGTATAAAAATTTTCACACTTAACAAAAACCGCAAGGGCAAAATTTCACAATAAACTTCTATCACCATTTAAAATACCACTTCTTTCGTTTTGGTGACAAAAATCAACATTTCTTTTTAAGTACACTTATCAAACATGATGCTTAAAAACATTTAAATTTCCGATTACACTTTTGCTAAAAAAGTCCCCTTAATGCTCTCCTTTAAAGTATATACTCTCATTGCAAGTTCTATTAATTTAAGTGAATTTGTATTCTCCAGCAAATCAAAAGAAAACCATTTTAATATTTGGATAAAAAAATAAGTTTGATAATTTTATTTTTAATTAAACATTAATGAGAATAAAATCAGACGCATATGGACAACTCTCCTTATTGATAAACTCAAAAGTCAATTTATTTGTTATATCGTAATTATTTTTAGACTGAGTATCTCACTGAATTGGATTAAAGCACACGTGGGGCATGCCGGCAATGAGGAGGCGGACCAACTAGCCAAAGAAGCCATCAGACTTGACTCCATAGAAAATACTACCTGGCTGNTGCTGGTGTTTTAAATTTAATTGTGCTTTTAATCCATATTTTAGGGTCTGTTGATCTGAACTTTTCATGACATACATGCCAGAAATATTAGTCATGTTTTCTTAAAGATATAATATTCTGACTAATTGTAGATAGCTAATTTTGTTCAACAGTCTTGCTCGCCCGCAGAGTTTACGGGCTGTTGTCATATGACTTTTGTATTTTATGTATTTTATGCACTTTATGTATTTTATATTCTTTACTGTTTTTACTTGATTTCAATAAACATTTACCCGCATGCCCTGAATTGGGGCAGGTCGGGGTAAATATCTTCATATCGTAATTATTTGCTTTGTTTTTCTGTATAAATGATAGAATGATAAAAACCAATTAGACAGGTTTCCTTCCCTCCTCTGATTTGGAACTCATATGGAACCATTTTTTTATATGATCATTACGATTGCATCGCACACAGAGAATTTGGAGTCATTTTCAGTTTTTTTTTTTTTTACATTACCGTTGTCTATTTTTAAGGTAAACGAACTTATAAGAAGAGGATTATTACAAATTTTTCACTCATTATATACTGTCTTTTTTCCTTGCTAATTTCTCCCTTCATTCACTCCCTACATCAAGAATCATTTACAATAGTTATCGCAATTACTTTTGCGATACTAATCTACAATAATGCACATTAAAAATTAAAATTAGAAATAAATGTGTTAAATATGACTAGAAACAAATTGTGCAAAATACAACTTAAAGGTGTAAAACACAATTAGAACACCAAATGTAAAAAAAGGTTTCGTTTTTGAAACATGATGTAATTAAAAGGAGTAAGCAATTTTCAAATAAAATGCTTCGTTTCTGGTAACTTCAACAGACTATAAGGATTTTGCATCAGGCTAGGTTTAAAAAATTTCATCACAAATATACTAAATTACGAAGAAGTGCAAGGGCGTAACGCGTAATCTAACAAATTATAAAAGTACTTTCAAAATTATGCATGACTTTGTCTTCGAAAAAACCTTTTCTTCAAATTGTCGACAAAAATAACCCTGTTGACGAAACGACCCTGTCGAAGAAATGATACAGTCGATGAAATGCCCCTGTCGATGAAATGACCCTGTCGATGAAATGACCCTGTCGATGAAATAACTTGTCGATGAAATGACCCAGTCGACGAAATTCCCTGCCGAGGAAATAACCCTGTTAAGGAAATTGGAATGAACGCGCCCCGCATGCACATGCTCTTTGGCTCCATATATGCTGCGTCACTTCATGTTAGAAGATTACCGTTGAGTTAATCCTACGTCAATCCTGGCACTTTCACTAATAAAATCCCACCACAACAAAATAAATAGTTTAAACAGATACATAAGGTCCGATTGCGAATGATGTTGTTTTCAAAGGTCTTGTTAAGCCCAAAATTAGAAAATAAATCTTTATGACTTGATCCATCACCTCCTACATAAAGAAGCCTCCACACGGTCTTTTATAAGTAGTCAGCGCAGACTGTTTAAAAAGTGAACCAGTTGTGCGCATGAACCATACCCTCCAACTGCTACGGAATTTCCGTAGTTTCAAAATTCTTCTTTTCAGACGGTAGCAAAATTAATGTCTTAATATTTAAAAAAAATTTATTTTAGCGTAACTTGTCCACTATTACTTATAAAAGTGCNAAATACGTGTCGATTTATTTTCAATAAAGAACAATTAAAAAAAATAAATTATATCATTTTTGTATCATAGGTGTAAATTTTGTATGGATTGCCCCATATACATTATTTACATTTGTGAGTCTCTGTTAGTACGACGACCCGGCCGTCCCGGTAGTCCACCGCTCGTGCCGGGTTGCTCATCGTTCTGAATTTAACAGGCCTACAGCTTGCCCAGATGGGACCCTACAAGGTGACAACCATGCTTCGCTTTTCGCTTTATTTAAAAAGAACTGTCCCATACATCGTGACATATATACATTGTGTTTAAAAACATTTTGAAATTTTGCTACATTGTGGTCGACAACCATGATAGTAACGCATATTAATATATGTGCTTAATTTTTGTAAGAATAGTGGTGATCAAAATCATTTAAAAATCAAGATTATAAAAGAAAAAATAGTTTATAATTGCTACCACTTTAAATATTAAAATGAAATCTTCCGGAAAATCCGGAGGAGTTGGCAGGTATGTGACTCTGACCCCCACTACTCCCTTATTCTACATACAAACTTAGATGAAGATGTAGATAGCCCTGCGGGCTAGGAACATCGTAAAATATTTTCCTCGGTATAACTAAATAACTTTAAAACTAAACTAAAAAAAAAAAATAACTTTTTATCGGTAAGTGGATATCTTTGTCAGTGGTCTGATCGGACTACCTGTAAAAAACCGTGTGGAGACTTTCAGTTATAGGAGGCGTTGCTTTATCTCAGCTTGACATTGTTATTACTTTTGACTTATTTCTTAAGAAAATGTATGTAGCTAACCACTTTATTTTAAAAATGTAATTTTTAACGTAAAATGTAATTTTTAAATGTAAAATGTAATTTAAAAGTAATAAAATGTAATTTTTAACGTATTTTTATTTTAAAATCAGATTTTCTCAGATTAAAATTAATATAAATAGCATACTAAAAATAGCACAAAAATGTATAAATTTTCAAGGCGACTCTAGACTGCCTACAAAAATGTAATTTACAGTTTTATCCGGGAGAAGGTTGTAAAATAAAAGATGATGAACACTTTTAATTGTCTATTGCGTTTCAATGTTGCGCAAACTTGTTGCTCTCCTAGAAACCCAAGTCATTTATAATCGCTCATTTTGACTTCAGAAAGTCTTTTATATTGTTTGGCTCTTGGATGCGAACTCCGTTTCCATTGGAAACAGGGATTTTGCTCTACCATCTAGATTGTAAGTCATTATATGCCATTCTTTTTGCTTGTTTGTTTGATCATATTTTCTTACTATTATGTAAATAATTATTGTTGAAAATATCAATTGATAAACACACACATATATATATATATATATATATATATAAAAGAAAAATTATTTATAAATCTTTATTAAAAATTTTTAAAAAAATCCTGAAATTTTAAAAAAATGGTTTTTAGAAACATTTTTTTATTAATAATTTCTTTTCTTCTTTTAAGAAATATATTTTTTCCTTGTTTTCTATACATTTTTTTCTTTGTGTTTTAAATTTATTTTATGGAGTCTTTATACTTCCAGACTACGCGCAGTAAATAAAACTTATTTGCTGCATAAAGTTATTTGGAGCATAATCTTATTTACTTTCTATACATATTTTATTTTTTTTTCGTTGTGTTTTCAATTTATTTTATGGGGACTTTGTCAGGGTTTGGGGGGTTTGTTATGGGTTCTTATGGGTCAGTAAATAAAACTTATTATTATTTTTATTTTTTTCAACAAATTTATTTTTAAAATTGATCGGTCAATTAAGCAACTACAAAAAAAATTTCATAATTGCCTCCATAGACAAAGCTATCAATAATTATGCCATCTTCTGTAAAAAGTTCTCTGTTGAACTTTTAAGTAAGGAGTTAAAAAATTGTTAAAGCTTTAAGCTTAGTAATTTGATTAATAAAATTTTAAATTTCGATAAGAGATTAAAAATTAAAATTAATAATATACGATTTCCATACTTATTAGTAAAAATACTTAATTATCAGTAAACTAAGCTTAGTAATTTAAATAATAATACTATCATTAAAAAATTATAGCATTCTATACGAGGTTAAAATTTTAAATTAATAATGTACACTTTCCATACTTAATTATCAGTCCATTATAAAATTTCGATTGAATTTAAAACAATCACTTGTGGGTCTAATACTTACCAAATTCAACCTGTTACCATTTTTTCTAACTACTTAAATAAAACTATTAACGAAGGTTTTTCTTGGATTATTACTAATAATTTGTTTCAAAATATATGAAACAAAATAGAATTAATTATATTGTTACTTTTGATTTCCAGGATGTTTTCAATAGCTTTCCCCTTTCAAAGCTAAAAGGTGTTCTTTTGAGTTATTACTATGATTATTTTGATTATTTAAATGATATGATTATTTAAATATTTTGTTTATTTGTTTGTTTGCAACCTTTGTTTTTTATTTTGTTATTCAACCAACAAGTGTGTTCATATACAATTGTAAAGGAATTTTGCAATTCTTTCAAAATTTACAGAGAATTATTGGTTGGTTGAGTTCAATAAATTTGATAAATAGCAATCTCAAATACACATATTTGTCGCCATTAGTATTCATTTTTTCTACATTAGTAACGTTGAAATTAAACAGAAACACTCAAAATACATAACATATCCAATAACAAAAATAAATATTTTTTAGTTTTTCGCGAAGAAATAATTGAATTATAGAATAAAGTAATAGTTGCGAATGCTTCCTGATTAAATATTTTCTTAGTTGTCTTTGAATGATATAAGATGTTTATCTTGTGTAAACACTATTTGTATGGCGTGAGTTGTAGAACCTCTATATTTTTTGCTGGGGCATCGAATTTTTCCAATGCTTTCATTACCTGCTGTAGCGATTTCTGTGACTTTGTTAATGAAAATCGAAATTTCGATGGTATTAACATAAAATGTAGTCTTGAAATTTTGAATCGATAACTGTAAGTATAATTTTAAAAAATAAATAATAGATTAGAATAAGGGAATAAAAATAAATTAGAATTAGAAAAGGGAATTGCTTAATTTTGGTAAAACCTAGTCCTGTCTTCTTATGTAACTGAATTTAATAAACGTACATTTTGAATGATTTTCAAAACCACTGTGTAAAACTTGACGCCGCAAAATTATTGATCTCATCTGAAAAAAAAAGAACTTTTTTAAGAGCTATGTTTTTATTTAATAAAATATTCAGAATAATTCACTTATATTTTACAAAGTTTTTATTAACTCTCTTTAGTGTTTGTAAATATGGAATCTTGCAGTCGAGTTTCATACTAATTAGAAAGCTCAAAATTTAATTAAAGCTACGTGCAAGTTTCTATCGTTTCCTTATCGATGCAAACAAGATTTATCGTCATTTTGCAGCAATTTATCGTCAATCGAATTTCTGATCACTTTAAAACTTACATTAATTGGCATCACAAGTTTTAATAGTCTGATCGCTTAAACCAGAGCTTATAGTCATGTCATGGCCGATTCCAGTGTATCGTGAATTGAAATATTAACCCTTTTTTGGGCTAGCTGAAGAACTCGAATCGTTACTTGATCACTGTGCTTGACAAAATTGGAAGATTGTTTCCAGACCGTGGGATATATTATTGAATTGTATAAAAACTGCAGCTTGTAGAGAGAAACCAATGGTAGATTAGAAATCATCGACACATTCCATCACCTCCTAAATCGAAAAGCCTCCACACGGTCTTTTATAAGTAGTCCGCGCAGACTATTTAAAAAGTGGACCAGTTGTGCGAATGAACCCAAAACCTTTTATAAAAGTAATTGAGAGAAATTTATCATATATATTAGAGAATTAAATCTGTAGTGGTTGACAAGTGACTGAGGCAAACCAATAATATTCATAAATAAAACAAATTTTTAGTTATATATTTGCTGCCACTTTCTTATTTTAACTAGATTTTGTATTAAGTGACTCGTTCGGAAAGTGGATATCTTCCATAGTGGTCTGATCGGACTACCTTCAAAAAACCGTGCGGAGGCTTTCAGTTATAGGAGGTGTTGCACATTCTCGTTAATGATGAAAATTTATTTAATTTTGTAAGTTATATGTTTTTGGTGGTAGCAAAATTTATTTATTAATATTTTATTGCTGATTTAATATATTTGATTTAGAGTGACTTTTTCCACAACTACGCATAATTAACGCATGTACATAGAATGCAACTTTGTACCAATTATCTCGTTGTAAGGGATCTAAAGAATTTCCAAATTTAATCGAAATTCAACAAAAATTTTCAGCATCTTTATTTAAGGTTTGGCCCAAACTGGAGAATATTGGATTCCTATAGTAGATCCACAGAGTTCGCACAGCCTTAAAAAGTTGTAACAAAATTACAAAAAAAATAGGCATTTTTATAAATTTGTGCAGACTTAAACACTTCTCAATTCCAGATAAACATATCTAGTTACGAAATTTCATGGTTTTGAATTTTTAATTTCGTAGTGAAGGCTAATAAGAAAGAAATTTGTAATTTCTTCATTACAATTCTGACACAACTTTTTAAATTTTTTAAGGACCATATGAACACAGTTCTATATTATATCTCTGTTTTCATTCTCTCGTTTGACAAAACACTTTAAAAAAATTGAATTAGGTCTACTTACTCAATTTGTGCACTTAATCTGAGCAGACTTGATACAGCATGCCCGAAGCATGGCCTGGAAATTGTATTAAGGAGATGGCTAAATTTTGAGAAAAAAATACATACTTTGAAGTATTCATGTCTGCTGAAATTATCTTCATTTTGTTTTTCGTGGAGTGAAAACTGCAAAATCAATTTCATAGAAATAATTTTAAGTCAATTTTATGAAATTTTAAGCAGTCATGAAAATATTCGCCGCCATCCTTTAATTTTTCCAGGCTTTCGGGATTCTGTATTCGGTAAGGGGAGACAATACTGTACTGACTCATTGTAAGCAACCTTTCTTTAACCCTTTCGAAGACCGTGGTAAGTATACTTACCACCAATTTTTGAAGCTCATGGTGAACTTTCTTACCACTTTTAATTTAGGTTTCCATTTGTTAATAACTTCAGCTTTCTTGAAGTGGGTTTGAATAAAATTGGTAGTTTAAGAGAACGTATAAAAGTATAAGTTTGCAGCATTTATAAAATTTATTTTATAATTAACGAAAAATAAAAGTCAATAAGCTCCTAATAGGCTGTGGTAAATATACTTACCACCAAAAGAAATGACATTAAAATTTAAATTTTTTTTTTGAAAAAATGAGTTTTTTTTTCTTGTATCAATTATTTTTCTCATATCAATTTTAATTCCAAAAATACTTTGATTTACCTTTAGTAGGAATAAATGGCCCATTAAAGGGTTGAGCAGCTAAAGTTTTGGAAGACTTAATATGGCAAAATTTGAAAGAATACGATTGAAGCTTTTAGAAATGTTTTTTTTTATCTATGCAAAATTTGCACCGACCAAAATGAGGAGACGAAGTTAATATCTTTTCTTGTAAATTAGTACCAGGAATATAGGACAAATTCATTAGGATTGCAATATTTATGAAAGAAGAATTTTTAGAATTTTAGTGGTATTGAAAAAGGTTATGAGCTTTTAACTTCGTATGGTCATTTTGAGGGAAACAAATTTTGCTTGCGTAAAAAGGACGCCAATTATGAAAGCTCCAAGCATGACGTTTGAAATTGAATGGTGCAAACAATTTATCCATGTAAAATCTTCCAAAACATTGGCTGGTAAAAGAAAGATTGTTTACATGGAGTTAGTATAAAAGTGTTTCCTTAATTATTTCAAACTCCTGTGATAGGCGATCTCATAATTTCGACTATTTAAGTATGTTGCTAAACAATAACATCATATTTGAGATGATTGAGCAGCGATGTCTATCAATTCATGATAAAGAGTTCATTCCATTATCGGTTTGTTACCAATATTTGTGCCACAGTTTGATGTTTTGAAAAAACAGTATTTCATTTGGTTTTTATGAGTTACCCCCAAAAACATGTTTTTTTCTTTACCTTTGCTCATGAATTTTATTTCATGTAATTTCTAACAAATGTCTAAAGTAATCTAGCCAAAACCACCTATTTCCAGTATCATAACCTGTAACTTAAATATAATTTCCATAGTTAAAATATTTTTCTCAGTGGCAGCAGAGGGAAAGTACTAATATTTTAATAGATTAGATATCAAAACAAATTTTAAATCACTGTACATAAATGATTTAAACAGATATGTAACACTTCACTTCTGATCATGTTCTTATATCCTGCTAAAAGCTTTGTTAAATATTCTGTTTAATCAAAAAGTATTTACTTCAATTTGCTTTCACTGATAATATATTTCTCAAAAGCTCCAGATTCTGGTGGGAACGCGATTTTAAATACCTACCGATTTTGTCAGACTTTTATTTTCTAGAAATATAATTAAGATTTATTGGAAGTACATACATTTACAGGCTTGTGTGCTCAATTTAGGCTTATAAACCTTTGTCATATAGAGGGACAGGTAGCACATTACAGAGAAGGGCAGCACTAAGATACATTCAGGGTAACAACTGGATTTGAACCCTCTACCTCCACGCTTTGCACAGCGTTTGGCGGGCGATAACACTCGGCTAGGTAGGCCTCTCTAATAAAGTCATCATCATCATCATTTGCATAGGAACTGGGCCTCTGAGGCCTTGCGGCCCTTTTTCCATTCATCTTGAAATAAAAAAGGAAAACATACATGATAAGCAGTTAAATTAATAGGGCACAAAATGGAGTTCATGCGAGTATTGCGCTTTGCCAAATTATTGGGTTAAATCATAAATTGGAATTTAGTAAAAATAGGTAAGTGGGTAAAAAAGGTACCTAAACGTTTAGAATAAAGATACTTTCCAAATATATGTATATTTATTTGTTGGTAGACTCATTCATTCATTTTTTATAGTCATTAATTTCAGTTTCCTAATAATGCTTTTGAAAAATTATATTTAGGAGTTCGTATCTACAGGGAGCCTCCTAAACTATGGAATTTGAAGACATTTTGAGAGACGTTGGTGACTTCGGCTCCTTCCAGAAAATTCTTATCATAGTCTTTCTAATCCCAACATTCACTTTCATACCATGGATATCTTTGAATGCTGTGTTTGTATCCAGTACACCTGACCACTGGTGCAATGTACCCGAACTGACCTCATCATTTCTCTCTATCGACGAACAAAAATACTTAATCAGACCACCGAAAGATCCTCACTGCACAAGATACGACTTAAACTATTCTGCATTGCTTACATCTCAGAATTTGACCATTGATCCTGGTTGGCCAGTTAAAAAATGTGATTTAGGTTGGAATTATGATACAACAAATTATGATGAAACAGCTGTTACAAAAGTAAGTATAATGTTAGCCTGTTGTTGATGGCGGCTTGTAAAAATGATGTAACAAAATAAGGGATCCTAAACGTCGAAACCATAAGGTGAAAAAACTGATAACTTTTTATCTATATGTTACGGCTATAGAGGAAATATAAATTATTCTGCAGATTCGGGGTAATCGGCAATCTACTTAGATAATCTGCACATTAACTATTTAGGCGCATTACCTTAGTGAAAATAATAGTTTTGCTCGAACAACTCAAAATTTTTATGCACACTCAAATTAATACAATGTTATTTATTAGTTTTTCATTACTTATAGGATCAAGTTGCTACAATCAAACAGTCAACACGTTAGTTGATAGAATGCATTAAAGATTAATCACTTTAAAAACTGAAACACTGTCAATCAAATTGTTTAAAATATTATTGCTATTAAGAAATTAACATAATGCCATTTAGCTATATTTCGATAACTAAAAACTGAAGTCAAAATCATCAAAAAATCAAATGGAAAAACAAGTCATTTGTGTTTAGCATAATATCTTTATAATTAATTTAAAAATCAATATAATAAGCTCGAATTACCCTAAGAAAAACATTTAAATGGATGAACGTTTTTTTTAAAACACGAAAAAAATAAGTAACATTTATTTGCAAATAAGGTATCAGATGATAGCTAAGCGTTTCAAGGACACATATCCACACAGTGTTGCTTGTGACGTCACAAGGCAGTGGCGCTGTGATCACGTTTGTGTAGAGGTATCTCATTAGTTCACCAAGGCTTAAAGCGCTAGGACATTTTAAAACATCAAAGCAATTCGTTAAAGTACCAAACAATTCTTGTTTTTTGAATTTCTTTGTTCACACTAATTGTTAGTATTCATCGTCTAAAAATTGTCATAAGATTGCCATTAGTTTGAAGACTCGGGGCGGTCCACACACGAACTACCTGTTGTAGAGACCTCGGGGCTTTGAGAAATCTGATATCCACTCTGTGGAAACAATTCTCAGAGACAAGAACAGTGGTTCGCCGAACTGGTGAAAACTGCTGAAGGGCAACAACGTCGACTCATCGTTATTTGAGACTTCTAGCCAGAAGGTGCGCGAAAGATACGCAATTGTTTCGAAACCTGTATAATGCAACAGAAACATCCATTTCACAAACAGCAGTCACTCAGACACTTAATGCAGGTGGCCTAAGTGCCAGGCGTCGTGTAGTCTGTATTCCTTTGACAGTAAACCACATAAAAGACCGTCTAGCATGGTACTCAGAATACTGTCTTGGATAGGATGATTCTGAACGGGTTCTCTTTGGTGATGATTCGCGATTCAATCTGGCAATGACACGAGACCTGTTATCTTCTAGAGAGAACCCGGGAATCGATATAGACCCTCTAATACTGTCGAAAAAGACCACTATAGTCGAGGTGGTCAAATGATCCTGGCAGGCATTATGGCTGATGGGCATACCGATCTTTACGTGTTCAATAGAGGAACTCTGACGTAACAGTGGTACAGAAACGAGATTCTTGCACCCTATGTGATACTTTTCCGCTGAGCATAAACACCGAATTTCATCTGCATCGACGTCCACTAAGGGATCAGTTTGTGAACGAATACCTTCAAAGGGAGCATATTGCACGACTGGAATGGTCTGCGATGTCTCCTAACCTTAATCCAGTCGAAAACGGATGGGTTTTCCTTGGACACTCAATTGTATCATCTCGAAGAACAGCTCTGACCATTGGTGATTTCAAAGGAGGCTGGGTGCTACAATGGGTGATGTTGCTAAAGAGATTGATAAAGACTATTTTACACAGTATAAGTCGCTGATACGAGAGTTATGGTAACTGTTAGAGGCACTCATATACCCTGTTTTCAATGACTTATTTGGAGTCGGTTAACTGCTGTGCTGGACAAGTTAGCGGTTCCCTTATTTAGGTCACAGGCTGTGGCCATTTTTGTTTTCTCATATATTGGTATTATATCGGATAATATTTCGGCTAGGTTTGATTTTGTTTCCTTTGTTATTTTTAAATAGCAAAAAACCAATCTTCCCCCGTCAATTGTGATATTTCAAAACCAAAATGGTACCCAACACTATAAAATATAAATTTAAATATAAATGCTGAATCCCTTTTTATCATGATTGGAGTTTTTACATTAGTTTAAAATGTTGCATCTTTGCATGGAAAGTCTGTACATGTTCAGGGCTGCCAACTACTACACTGTTCGCAAAATATTTGATAGAGTGCTAGACCACTAAAAACTAAAGCTATCAGAATGTTATTTGTAATTTTGTCAAAACTTTAAAATTTTCACCACGAAATAGCTGAAGCAAACTTGCGTTTTATATGATATTTTGAGCCACTTAAGTGTAGTGGTGTGGAAAATAACTCCAAGTTAACGTTTCAAAACAAAGAATCATACATTAAAACATAAACTTCGCTGCAACAAGAAGAAATTTTCCCAGAAAGCATAGAAGTTGACAGCCCTGCATTTTTTTGAACACTATTAGCTTATCAACTTTTTTTCCCCTTAAGAATTTTTCATACAAATGATGTTTATCTATTGGTTAGTGCAAATTCTATTTCAATACATTCTCTTCCAAGTACTTATTTAAAAATTTTACAAAATAACTTTTGTTATCGTTACTTTTAGTGGAATCTTGTTTGTGAAGATGATTATTATAAAAGTATGGTAGTTAGCTTTGTATTTGTTGGAGTTATATTTTTCACCCCACTCTATGGTTTCATCTCGGACAGGTAAGCTAATTTCAATGTTAAATTGGCTAAAAGTTCAATTAAAGTTGAAAACTAATATACACTTGGACATTTTAACTATTATGTCAAGAGAACCAAAATCTAAAAGTTATGGTACAATGAGTAAATAGAAATGCATTTTGATCCAAGATTCATGATTATGGACCCAAGTCATACCCTCCAACTTATGAGGATTTTGAAAATAATTCTGTCTAGTGGTAGCGAACCAAAGTAGAAATTTTTAAAGCAAATGTATCTCTCATAAAACTTTTATCAGAACTTAAGAATCTAGCCATATGGCCTGCACTTTTATAAGTAATAGTGGACAAGTTACGCTAAAATTAATTTTTTTTTAAAATTAAGACATTAATTTTGCTACCGTCTGAAAAGAAGATTTCTGAAACTACGGAAATTCCGTAGC